TTCCCTACAACGTATCTGCATCCTCCTAATACATATCGTATTGATAACTTGTGTGCTTATTCACAGTCTTTTAATTATCTCAAGGTTACAAACATATAAAATATTTGAGAAATTAAAGGAAGCAACTTGAGCCTTTAAAATCAGGCTTCAAATCTGGACTGCAGATGGTCTGCATCAAAGTAATGCTAAAATTTATGTCAAATGCACCAAGCCAGCAAAGTATTTCTTCAGGTCAATAAAGAGAAAGTTTCTGGGATCGAAATATAACATCCACTTCCAAGTGAGCAGCGTAACATTTAATAACTGGCCCAACAACTTCTGCAGCCTCTGGTCTAGGCCAGTAGTTCTACCCTTGTTGTTTGTGTCTGTCAGAATCCCTGAATTTCAGGCTAACTCCCCAGATGGCACTTGCCATCATGTACAACTCCCAGTCTGCTACTGGCTATCTATTTTGCTTTCTGCAAAGTGTGCTAGAAATCCAAGAGCAACGGGGGAAAATTAAGCAGCAATATATTTTCTGCATCATCATGCTATTGGCTGGAAACTTACATACGCATGTATAAAGAGAGCGAGCTGATCACAACAGGAATTTAAGGGGTATCCCAAATGAATAAAATGTCAAGAATTTTAATTTTGAGCACTGTATGTGCTACACTACATTACTAATCAGTGCTACAAATTAGTATTTTATAGAGCGTCAAGAGTTTGGAAACCCATTATTTTTTAACTATAAAGCAAATTATCAGTAGCATGGATAAAAAAGAATTTGTATTTACAGATACTTAACAATACTGCTTGATTTCAGTAACTGATCAGATTACCTTCATGTGGTAAGAGTTCAGTAAGTCTGCAACATTTTCTTTTGAAGGAGATTTCAGTGCTATCAGGTCTTTCTCTAAGGCAGGTAGCTATTTAAAATAAGATTTAATTAAAAGTAAGTAAACTAAAATGTACTTCTTGGTTTACTACTGCTATGGTAATAGTACTATATAGTGTGTGTGTATATATACCAAAAAAAAAAAAACAACACCCCTCACCCCCAACTTTTGAACAGATCTTAAAGAGGTACCAAGTAAACAATACAAAGAGCCAGAGTTAATTTTTCAATGTTGAACCATCTGGCTTTAATTATGTCTGCAGTGATCAGCAAAGAGCTCTGCTTTCCAAGCAGCCCCCCAACACAGTGCTACAGCTGCAGCAGGTAAAGCCAGCTTACAACACTCTGACAGGAAAAAGCAGGAGCCACGCTATGCTCAAAATAGTATCTAACCAGCTCCACAATGACAGGCATGGGTCCTTACACAGAGAAGGAAAGCAAGTCATTGTTTCTCTTTCACTTATGTCCATGCAAGTTACTAGAACACTATGACTCTGCCTTTATCAGATATACTAATTTTTACACTTTCTTACAGCTACTGTAAGAAACAAATAGAATATCTGTTAATGAGATTGATAAAGAACATGTAAATGGGCTGTTACGTAGATTAAAAATTTTGCAGCTGCATAAGTAATCTTTCATTTCAGACACTGTTGTCTAAATTGTACAATTTTTCAAGCAACTTCAGTTACACTCAGTAAATCACACCCTTCAACAGTAGAATCATAAAGACAGCAACGTTTGCACCCTCTTTCAAGCAAAGCTGTCACTAGCTGGCAAGTGTTGGAATGACAGCTTGAGAGTATCTTACCGTTCCCCTTCACAGTGCATGGCCAGCTAATATAATTGCACCTCTGCATACGCTCAAGTTGGTAAAAGTACATTGGTGAGCTACACAACTCAAACTTGTCATTATGGTTGTAGGCTGCGCCCTTGCGAGCAGCAGTTAGCAGCTTACCTTTTCGGATTCTACATAATGTGTAGCGATGCCAGCTTTTAGTACATCTCTTCCTTTCAGCCTAAATCCTGTCAGTGCAAGGTAATAGCCGATCTTTCCTGATAGTCTTGGCAAGAAATATCCTCCACCTACATCAGGAAAAAGGCCTGTAATAAAACAAACAAAAAAAAGGTGAAGGGAGAAGAATTTGTCTTAATCGTGCATGTAACTTAGTAGCTATTTCTTCTTGTCTCACTTTCATCTTCCTGACTTAGGCATGGCTCTCTCGCCCAAGTTTCTCCTTGACTTGCTTTGACATTTCTGTGTTATCAAAACCCCACCTAAAAGCAAACTCTTGAACACCTCCCAAACCGTATCTTTTCCGCGAGCACATAATTTACAAACATATACCAGACAATAGTGTTCATTCTATTTGCCAACAACTTGAGACATTTTTAGATGCCTGAAGAATCAAGTGTCCTCTCAGCAAAAAACCAGAAGTGACACAAAGAATTGTGAAATAATTTGTGCAAACTCAAACTGCATGCTGCTTCTTCTCTGAAATCTTTTATTATGATAAAAATATCAAACTGATGAGGCACCTCTTGCACAGCTAAGTTTGAACAAATTTTGGGGCTGAGAATTCCTTAATAGATCAACCATATTTCCAGGATCTTCCTGAAGGTGGAGGCATGAGATGTTGACCTAATACCTGGCTCTTTCACAGGACTATGACTAACCTACAATTTTTTAAAAATTATAAAAATTTCCAGTTTAGTGACTGTCTTTCTTTTTTTAATCTACAGAGTAGGGTAATTTTTAAAAATTCAAAGCCGTGAATAAAATTTAAAAGACTTTTAAAAGTTGCAATTGAAAAATATATAACTACTTTTATCAAACTTTAAATATTTAAAATCATTACTTTGTCAGTATCTACCTTATTCTGTTACATATGTTAATCACCTACAAAAGAAATTTAAACACTTTTTGTAACTTTTAACATACTTAAACTTAAGAAAACAGAAGCTTAGCTGTATCAATCTCAGAAATCGAAATGGAAAGAAGCAGTGTCCAGTTACTACTTCAAAATAATCACCAATGGTGCATTCATGAAACTGGAAGTCTTTTGAAGAAATTAAAGGTGTGGCGATGGTTTTTCACTTTCAGAGAATAAAAGAAACATGAAAATAAATGAAAAAGAATACAAATGAGCAATAAGAAACTCAGAAAACTCTTGCCAAAGCAGAGATGTTAACTGGGAACATTAGGACATTCGTTAGGAATTTAAATGGGGTTCTTATAGAAGGTGGTAATTTTTCACTCACAAGTAATTGTATTGACCCTTTTTTGACTAAAAGCATGTATTATAGAAAGACCCTATTACAAGTATTTATTTTAAGATGTGGGAAATTAGTGGTCCCTGAATATCCCTCCCCCTTGGACAGAATCAAGGGGAAGTTTCTTTCAGACTGCTTCTCTTCAGTGTTTTCCTCTTCTCAATAATCTTGAAAGTTCATCACTGCCATATGTTCTCACCCATTCCTCAGCTTCTCCTTTGGTTCCCTCTTGGTACTTCCTTAGTTCTGTGGCCAGTTGTTTTTAGGAGCCACTTCCTATCAGTTAGAGCGGTAGTATTCTATTCCCATTCCCACTGATGTGTGTGTTGCCATTAACTGATTTATCCCTCATCCCACAGGCTGCTGAGACATACAGCTCTTCTCCTAAAATGCTGACTGTCTTGTAGACACCCTTTAAAAGCCCTAAGCTGTATTAACTCCAATTCATCACTTCTTTTTCATCTGTACTCACATTCTGAATAGTCTACTCTGCATTTTACCTTCTTGGTTTGAGCCATCATATCTATAATGTTGATGCCAAGACTGTCATTTAGTTTTATGTTTCTGTTCATCTGTCTCCCCTTGGATATCCTACTACTGCAAAAAAAAAATAAAAATCCCTCATTTCAAAAGAAAACTTCTCTTACAAATGCCCTCCAAAGCAAAAAGGCAATTACATTATTCTCCCCATCCACTAGGACTGCAACAGCAACAACATTTTCCTCTCTGCTGTAATTGAAATACTGATGCTGAAGTACTATTCTCCCCATGCTCCAGTAAGTTTTCAGAGGAAAAGCCATCTTCCTATTGGGATCTATAGTGCCCTTCCACATGGCTATACACAGGGAAATTAGTTCTAAATAAACTCTGAAGTTGGTTAGCTTAAGTTGCTTTAGAAGCGAATAGAACTAAACTGAATGAAGGTTTCTTTAATTATTAAGGAATTTACAAACAAGATTAGTGAAGGTGTAACTAATCCACTTTAAACTTACTTGGTTGCATAAATGTAGTCTGCTATAGCTTCTACTGTATCCTTTTAAAGGTCCCTATCTTCCTTTCTTCTTATAAGTTTACTCCTCCTGTTCCTGTTCTACACATTCCTCTTCATCCTCTCCATAATGCTCCCCATATGTTTCTACTTGCTACTGGGTTTCTCTTAATGTATACCATATACTTGATTTTTTTTTCCTTTTGATAGCATTTACCACTTATTTCTCAAATCCCTACTAAAGAGAAGAACTGAATGTCCGCTGGGTTGAACAGGCTCAAAACCTATGCCTGTAATGTTGACTTGCAGTCTGTGCTCTGAGAAAGATGCAACACGCTTCACTGTAGTCCCAATTGTGAAACTCTGCAGTTACCAAGTATAAGATAAAGGTAGCGCTACTACATTCCTACCTTATCTTGCACAGGTGGTTGGAGATTTATTAGTAAATGACTTACAGAAAGCTAAAAACTTACAGGGATATACAAGAAAGTGTCCACTATTATTATAACATCACCTTAAAGCCCACCTCTTACAAGATATTTTCATCTTTTGTTCTTCCCACCACTGGTTTTTCCACACCCTCCTACATCTAAGCTGCTTTCCAGTGCTTTATCTTATCTATGTCACTTTCAAACTCCTACAGTCTAGAATTGCCTTTTATTTCTATTTACAAAGTGGCATATCTGTCTATATCCTTTTATTTATGGTGGCGTATAAGCGCAGAATAATTGTGTGAAAATGTAGCAGCTGAATTAATGCTTTGTTTTCATTTCACAGAAAAGGTGTAAAGCCTACTGAAATAAGTGAACATATGAAAAAATGAGCTAATACAATATCTAGACAGCTAGACATTTTAAACATACACCACAGAGATCAAAACAGCTAAGCCCTTAAAGCCGAACAGATTACGGTGGTTTTACTTCTAATTGATCCTAAAAGGGTTTTAATTACTTTCTTTCCTAAGCAAGTGCTAAGCTTTTCCTTCACAGTCTATTTTTGTTTAAATAAGTCCTTGTCAACACAAGAAATGTATGTAAAGTACACAATTTTTGCTAACAGAAGACTACCTTTACCTACTACTATATCTTTACCTTTGAAGAAGAAAGCGCAGAAGGTGTGTTTATTAGTAGTATAATTTTATATGCCAAAGAACCTTTCTGTTTTGTATTAAAAAACAAATTGTTTCATTAAAATGGTTTTCTTGTACAACAACCGATTATGAACTTCAGGAGTTTAGCAAATTCATGTTGTATTAATGCTTGAGCTATTTAGTTTACTAAGTTTTCCTTCAGCAGATAAAAATAGCTGGAGGCTGCAATAGTTTTTGTTTTTCTCATTACAAACTTATTTGTTCAGAAAAATCACATGACATTTATCAGCTAGCAGAAATTGCTCTAGAATTTTTTCCAGAAGTTAAAATGATAATGTACTTGCTTATACTTGGGGGGGGTCTATATGTTTTATTTGACTTGACACTCACAGCTCATGTAATATTTTAAGAATTTCAGAGTAAGTATTGTGAAATGTTTTATAAAGGCTGGATAACAATAAGCAATAGATAATATGTGTAAGACACCCTCTAAAAATATGAAAAATGCTAGACCTTTTAAGCATTCCTAACAGGGGGCACAACAAAAATCCAGTCATTAGCTAAGTGTGCATTTTAACTTTAGTTGTAATGACATTATTGTACTTAAAATATTCTCAACAAAAGCAGAATATTATAACTTCTATTCTCTTTTCAGAACTGAGTCCTGATTCTTTTTCTTTTACACTATTTCTTAGTTTTAACATTATGCAACTGTTTGGAAATTCTTTTAAGAAAATAGTGGTCACTACTCCTTACAACTAATTCTTTCAGGTGAAACTAAGATTGAACCTAATAGCACCATGTCTGGTGCCATTTAAGCTGTTTAACCACCAGATAAGGTTCTCTATTCTGAATAAATGTGTTTAACGGGGCCACATATTACAGACAAGTGTCATCCTCCTGCTTAAGGACATAAAGATAAGAACAATTGCAATCATCCTTCAGCTGCCTTGCCTTAGGAAGATGTAGAAACTAGAAATTTTGCAGGAGAGAAATGCAAGATAGGTTATAGGTTTTGAGAAATCTTCATAAACATTGTTGATAAGCAGGAAGAGGAGACTTGGAAATTGATTAAAGCATTAATGAAGTGTATATGCTAGACAATAATAGGTTCAATGTGGATACCCTGTTTGGTGCCAGGATTGTCCTGAAGGGAAACATGAATGATTCGAGGGGAGGGTTCAGTTTAATCTGACTGACTTTTCTTCAGCCATACAACTATCTTCATATAGCTCTGAGATACAACATTTTCTTTTGTACATCTCAGAGTTGGCAAAGAAGCTGTAGGATCAAACATTAGAAAACACAAGGTACATGTTGCTATTTAAAAAAAAAAAAAATGACGACACTGTGATCTCACTTAGACACAATCTGTATGCAACTGTATCCTGATAGTCTTTATGTCAGTCTAGATGGTAAACCGCAGGTTGAGAACCTCAATGATCAATCTCCCAGAATACAGCTAAGTTTCCATTAATTTAACAGAAAATACTTTCCATATATGGTCACCTCCAAATCCTTTTTAAAATTCTTTCATTACCGCCACTGCTTTCAGTCAAAGATATTTCATACTGATTACACAAACAGTGAAAACTTTAAACACGTTAACATGTGATAATCTCTTAAAATAGTTACCTATTGCTGTTTCTGGCATTGCAAAAAGTGTCTTCTCTGTAGCAACTCGGAAATGTCCATGGACTGAGAGGCCAACTCCCTACGCATACAGCACAAGCAAAGGACACAGTTACAATATTACCAGTAAAAATAATCATAACCATTATCCTATGTAACACAGCTCTTGCTTCGCTCTACAATTAAGTACTAGAGTTACCATGCACATCTCAACAAAATATTAAAAAGGCCTTTTACAGTTCAAACACTAATAAAGCATATTACCTTTATGATTTGGCTGAAATAGCATTCTGTACTTTAAAAGATTGATGAGTCATACATAGATTAACTTCAAAAAAACATTGAGTGACAGCAACAGAAACAAGTGACCCTTTTTTTTCCATGAGACTGCTAAGAGAGTTGACATCCTTTTGCTAATGTTACCCCATCTACAACTTTTGCGCATACTTCAAACCACCAAAAAAAAAAGCCAATGCTTTTAGAATATACATGAATTGCATAAAGTTTTAATTATAATACTTTTTAAAGAAATAATAATTAGCTATTATTATAATGTGATAATTACCTACTTTATCAATACAGAAGTATTTCAAGCAGGAAAAGCCTTCAGCATTATGGATTAAAATTCAAAGTATGTGGTTAGAAACTCACTTATTTAACCTGGGGAATTCTGTTCTCCAAGTCAAAAATAGAATTCACATTTCTAAGTATCTAGCCCTCTTCTCTAGGAGTCCTTCCTAATGAGAGACTTCCCTCAAGAGCAGAAGAGCTCCTGGTCTTGCCTATCACATATTTTCTGATTTAGGCAGTGAGCAGCAGGCAAGGCCCAATAAAACGATGTATTTCTCATTTCACATAAAATTGATTTTAGATAAATGTTCAAGAGGCAAACTGACAAATTTAAAGAAAAATGGTTATCTGACAAAGTTACTATTATTTAGTAATAATATTTGAAGTAATCAAAAAAAATTTGGATTACTGGGCACAACCACAACATATAGGTAAAGGAGTTTTACTTCTCAAAGCTTATCTACATGATACATGACAACAGAAATGTGTGTTAGATCCTACCTGGAGACAAAACCCTCTACCGAATATTTCACAACAAGTTTCTTCATACAAATATTTTCTTACTCTTTCTTTCCACTGTTTCAGCTTACTTCCTTTCCTCACTGTTAAATTTCCCTTTGCTTAGTCTTTCTATCCATCCAATTTTTCTATTAAAACGAAGGTATCTTAAATATCATTGGTCAAAAGAAGTCAGCATCTAATGAAGATGTAACAGATTTTTAAGTAACATTTCTAATTGTTTAGATACTAGAAAAATGGCACTTTACCGAACTAAGGCTACCATTCTTCACAAATGTCTTCACAGCATTTCATACTTCCCATCAAAAAAAGTGGGATTAATCAGGTGATACTTGCTTGGACGAGCATTATATATTTGACCAGCTTTTAAGGAGACACTAGAACACAGTAGAATATCTTTTCATTTCTCTTATCTACAGAGATCTTTGGGTGGGTTTTACATTAATTTTTTTTTTAAGTTATCTCAGTTTAATAAAGATTACATCCATTTCCTCACACCATTCTCATTCATGCTTCCCTGGCCTCTCACAATTCTGCCCAGCAAGAAATTGTCACTGCTTACTCCAATAGGGTGATACATGACTAAATTTGAAAATATCTTCAAGTTTTTTCTGTAAAATGAGTACCTGCCAGTCTTGGGCTTAATACAGACATAGTAAGTTTTTAAGATTCTAGTCTAATTTCCTGAGAAATGGACACTTAAGATAACTGCTTACCATACTTGATTTCATATCCAGAGACTAAGCCAAATCTATACACATGAAGTACTGCTTTTTCAAGGAGGCAACTGGGATTTGAGCAAATATTTGAATCTTATTTGCATAGAGTACAATCTTATGTTTCATCCCTTATCTGTCCTTCAACCCTTTCACTTGAGGACTGGTCAGAAGCTGTAGATCTCACATGAGCAGCAGCAAGGGTGATGGCCCTGTATTTAGTTCTCTTGCAAATGCAAAGCCACATGTAAAGCTACATTCATTCCTGAAACAGCTCTGGAACTTAAATAAAATGGAAATGTGACTTCATCACTTCCAACTTCTTTTTTATATCTTAACAGCGCATTTTCACTGCATTTGGTAAGGCCTGCTGTTATTTTTATGCGTGTTAGCAATAATGATGACGCTTTCATAAAGATAACAAAATAAAAAAAAAAACATGCCCATTTTGCCCTTTCTAATGCTTAAACTGATTTTTTTTTCTAATCCCATATCTAAGAATACAAATACTATCTATAATAAAGCATTTTTTCTGTCTTATTTGCTAGACAATCAGAAGTTTGTATAAGGACTCAAATTTTCAGCCTGAGTATTAAGTAACAAAGACTCCATGAAGAGAGCTTCTCTTCCAAGCTTGTTCTTTTTTATAGTGATAAAAATAACTGTAGAGTTTTAATAATAGAAAGTTGAAAGAGGTAATTTTCTTTTGAAATAAGTAATTAAATCAGATTTCACTTTCTCAAGTGCTTAAGCCATAATTGGATTTGTTTTCTAGATAGCCTTCAAGTTTTATAGTATAGATAAGAGCTAAATTTCACATGTATATTTAAAAGACCCAAACCATATTTTCTTCTTATCCATTATAAAGAAAATGGTGCAAATATGTCCTTACTTCTTTGAAGATCATTTCTAAATAATCCAACATTAAGATAAAATTAGAAGAGAAAAATGAGTTAATGCTTTGGGGGTACAAACCTCAGTAGTCTATTATACCGGTGATCATATGCTTTCATATGTTTATTTTCAACTTCCCAAATGATTATTTTAACACATTCACTGTGTTTAACCTTCTCCATCTAATACAGAGGACAGATGCTTATTAGTTTAATAGTATTCTATGTAAAAAACAAACTCTTCCAGTCAGAAGCCTAAATGCATTGCTCCTTTATTTCTGGATTTTGTAATTACTTTTCTTTTTTTAAATTTAACTGAAATCTTGCACAGCAGTTGGGCTGTGTTCACTTCACCAAATAGGTCCAGATTTACACATACAAGTCTTGATGCTATAATGTCTTTATTAAAATACACTATATCCTGCACTGTCAAGAGTCCTACCTTTCATGATCTTAAAATATATACTAAAGCTAATGTCTTCCTTCAGGCTTTTCCACGATAATAGATTCCTATGGTGAATCAGGCTTGGTTTTTAATCCAGATAGTTTATCTTGATACTGGCATGAAACTTTTTTTTTCCACTGAGAGCTAATACTTGCATTTTGTAAAGGATACTTAAAGAATGAGACTAGAAGTTAAGGAGTTAAGAAGTTAACAAGCAATCAGTTTAAACAGCCTTTCTGTAGGTGTGCTGGTTTTGGCTGGGATAGGGTTAATTTTCTTCATAGTAGCTAGCATGAGGCTATGTTTTGGAGTTGTGCTGAACACATAGCTGATAATAAAGGGATGTTTTAGTTACTGCTGAGCAGTGCTTACCCAGAGCCAAGGCCTTTTCTGCCTCTCACCCCACCCCACCAGCGAGGAGGCTGGGGGTGCACGAGAAGTTGTGAGGGGACACAGCCAGGGCAGCTGAACCCAACTCACCCAAGGGATATTCCATGCCATATGACATCAGGCTCAGCATCTAAAGTGAGCAGCTGCATGGCATTTAGCTACCTGCCAGGTTAAATCATGACAGTAGGGTTTATATATGAATTAATCAAAAACATAGGTAAGAGCAGAAATGGTGGTCTGACAATGTGTTACTGGAGACAGATTGGCTATGAAGGTGTTTGCTTACAAATTACAGCTTTATTACTACATGGATATTAATCTCAAAACCAGTGTGTTACTACTGTACTATTAGGCTTGGCATACCTCAAGGAGGCACATAATATTATAGGCAGTTTGGTCTGAATTCCTTGACAAGCTTCTGAAAAAGCTAGTAGAGTATCTGAATTTTACTTCCCATACACAGGCATTTCCTACTCAATGCTATATTTCAAAAGTCACTATGTGACTGTGTATAGAAAATTTATCATTGATTTCCTTTTTTTTTTCCTCATGATGAATACAGAACCTTATTAGAAGTATTTTTCTAGTGAAAAACAAGGTGTAAATTAGAGAAATGGAGATGCAGAAATGGAATACAGCTACTATAAATCTTAACAGTTAAGTTGTAGCCAGAAGGCTGTATTATCTTAAATTGAGAATGACCCATATTAGTAAATCAGAGAATGCATCACATCTAGGGAAGTTATTAAGAAATTGAAGGTCACCACAACAGAAAACCATACAGAGCGAAATAAAGATGCTCTTCCTGAATGACAGACATAAACATCTGTTCACATACAGAAAAGCAGATCTGTGTCACAGCAAAACCATTAAATCACACTTGTCTATTTACTAAATTACCTAACTCAAACTGTAAAGGAATCACTGCCTAGGAAAGCATAAGCAACAAAAGAAAAGAAACACAAAGAGAAAAGGCCTTCAGGAATGTTGCCTGTATCATCTTCACTAGACTGATAAAGAACTTTTAGCTGTTCAAGCAAACAATTTTATGATAATACCAATATTAATATTGCCTGCAGTGAAAGTCCTGTTGTAACAGTTCACATCCATTGATTACACTCATTTTTAACTGCATGAGAATACAGTGGTAGGTCTAGAACCACAAAAGAAATGTGGCAATCAACAAACTGAGCATAACACAACAAAGGGCAAATAGATCTGACTACAGATGTGTAAGAACAGCCACGGTGCAGCAAAAATGTTCTCAAAGGCATCGAAAGCTGGCAAAGTAAGCAAGTGGAATTGATTCAGGAACCAGCAGGAGCTTATAGCTGTTAGATCAAAAATCACTGATGTAAGAGCTTTACCCCCTGCATCCAAGCACAGCAAATCTTAAACTGAATCAAAATTAATCTTCATTCATCATTAATGTTAGGGACCACTCCAAAGAGTATAATCCATTTTTATCTGTAGATATTAACAGACAAGATGATTTAGTGAACCAGAGCAATGCAGCATAACAGATCAATCTGGACTAAGAAGATCACTT